AAGAGCACCCTCTCCTCTTTATCCTCAACATGTTTTTACCATAACCATTCTAACTGGGATGAGATGCTATCTCATTGTGGTCTTGATTTGCATTTCTCTGATAATTAATGATACTAAGAATTTTTCCTATATTAGTCAATAGTATATCTTCTTTTCAGAAATATCTATTCAAATCATTTGCCTATTTTAAAACCAGTTTTGTTTTGTTTTTTGCTTTTTGGTTTGTTTTTTTTTAGTTTCTTGAATATTTTGGAATTAATTCCCAATCAGATGAATAATTTGAAAATATCTTCTATGCAGGTTGTGTCTTTCTTGGTTGTTTGCTGCATTTCTTTGCTTCTTAGTTTAATGTAACCACAGTTGTCCTTTTCTGCTTTTGTGGCCTGTGCTTTTGGAGTCATACTAAAAAAATCACTGCCTGTACTGATTTCAGTTCAGAAGCACTTCCTCCACGTTTTCTTCTTGTACAGTAATATTTTGAAATCTTCCAATTGGGTCTTTGATCTGCTTTGAGGGGTTTTTTTTATATGGTGAGGGGTAAGAGTTTAAATCCATTCTTCTGGATATGCAGTTTTTCCAGCAACATCTGTGTTAAATAGGCTGTTCTTCCTCCCATGTATGTTTTTGGAATTTTGTTGAGAATTAGTTGCATATAGACATGGGGATTAATTTCTGGGCTATTCTGTTCTGTTGGTCTGTGTTGGGGTTTTTTTTTTTGGTACTGGGGATTGAACTGCTGCTTGCGCAGCAGGCGGCAAAACCACTGAGCTAAATCCCCAGCCTGTGTTGGAATTTTTTAATGATAATATGATGTTTTGGTTACTAGAGCTTTATTGTATGTTTTGAGGTCAGGTATTGTGATGGCTCCAGCTTTATTCTTTTTGCTCAAGATTGCCTTGGCTACTTGGGGTCCTTTGCAGTTCGTCATTCTAAAAGTAATTCTCCATTATGACTCTTTCCAAGCTTCCCTTTCCCCAAACCAATGAGAATGGAGGTTCGAAGAGTTTGTAGTACTTGCTGAAGGGCTAGCAGCTAGTGTGGGGCAGAGGCTATTCTTGAGCCCAGACCTGGTATCTTCTCAACCCCTCCTTCCTCCCATCACACACCTTTCCTTGGAAAGGCTCCTTGCTCTGAGTTCACGATAGGAGGGAGATGTTTGTATAGATTGTGATGTATGGATCAAAATTAGTTGTATGTTTTGAAACCAGATCTAGTCAGGAAAATCTGGGTCATCCATTGAAATCTGATCTGTCTTTTCAAAGCAATAAGCCAGTGTCCCCGGTGTCACTTTAGGCCATACCTCATGAAGTGGATCACAGAAGTTATGTGGCTATTTTCCAGGTGATTGTGAGAGAAGAGACTCAAGGGACTTTAGCAAGGAGGATGGGACAGAGCAGACCCTCCCGGGGGAGGCAGGTGGGAAGGGAGGGGTGACCCACAGGAAGGCAGGATCCTTCACAGCAGGTGCTGAGATGCCAGCTTCTTCCCAGAAATCTGAGGAGTTATTGCCACCTGGCTGGAATTCCTGGAGATCAGCTGCATTCTGGGAAAAGTGCTTGTGCAGTTCTGTAGGGATGGGTGGGCTTTGAGCCAGAATGCCCTTCGTCCAAACTGTCATTTGTCTTAGAAACTCCTGTTGGACCCCTGGACATCTTCTGCCCCTGGATATCTGACTCAGCCTCACTTCTTTGGATAGGTTGGAACATCCTAAAGCATTCTGGGGGCAAATCTACTTTTCTTTCATTGCATCTTCCCCCGAGTGATAGCTGTAGGTTCAAACAGCCCTTTCTTGGTGGAAAATGTCCTTCAGACAAGTGAACACTGAAGCCTGCATTCTAGAGTTTGACAATATTGAGGTCATTTCTTTAAGGAATCATCTGCATTTTTAAACTGTAGGCATTGACCCATTAGTGAATCATGAGATTAATTTAGTGGATCATACCAGCCCTTACAAAAGTAGAATAGGGTAGAAAGTATCAGAACTAGAGGCATGACATGCAGTATGAAGAAGTTTGTCTCATGAACCCACTTCTTGGTGTGTGTGTTTGTGTGCCTGGGGTTCAGGGTGTGACCCAGGTTGGCTCCTGTCACATCTGTGTTTGCTCCTATAGCATAAGTCTGTCCCTGTCTAGACCCCTGGGTGACTTGTTCTTGCCAATGGACTGTAACTGAATGTGACATTTTACTTCTGGGTCAAGGCTGCTCTGACATGGTGGCGAGTTCCTGCAGTGTGTTGGGCCCTCACAATGGCCTGGTGGCCTGGTCCCCAAAGCACTATGGAAAGGGGCACTGCAACAAGCCAGGAAACCTTACACTGATGCTCATGCAAGCAAGAAAAGAACTTGTTTTAAACCATTGATGTTTTGGGACCTGTGCATTAGAGAGCAGCACGTGTGATTCTGATACATCCTCGACCAATTTCTCACTGTGGGGGATGGTCCAGAAAGTTTGAAAAAAACAACTGCTTTATTCTCACCTCCCTTCTTCAGATGAAGAGACTGAGTGTGTCTGTGTGGGTGTGTGTGCATGTGTGTGTGTGCTATATTGGGGGTGTCTCCCCATGGCCTTCTGGATGGGCTGGGATGGAGCCTTGTGTGGGGTAGATGCCATGAGGCTGGAACTGCTTTGTTCCCCTCAGAACCAAGCAGAGCTGACCCCCAGTTTGATCCCAGGCCTGCAATACAGCGCTCAGCTTCCCCTGGCCAGTGTCACCTGGGCCGTTGCTGGTTGCTGCTTCGGAGCTCCCTGTCCCGGAGCAGCTGGAGACAAGGCTGAACCCCACGCTCTGTGGTTAGTATCTCAGCCAGCACGAGGACTGGCAGACTTTCTCTGAATCTCTGAGGTGCAGGTTTCCAAGGAACCCAACAGAGCTTTGTTCCCCCCCCCCCGCCCCCAACAGGCACAGGGCGGGTCGAACACTCGAATGCCCAGCAACCTGCTTCGTATTTAGCCACCCGGTGACTTGGCCTTGGAGGTGGCCTCAGAATTTCACAGTGCTGCCAGCTTGCCACTGGGAAGTTCGAGGCCAACCTCAACCCTACTCTTCACTGCCTTGAGGCTTGAGGCACAGCTTGCTGGCCCCATCATCAGCCTCGAGTTGTGGAGTGGGAAGCGGGTCTGGCCAAGCTGTGAGGGGACCGAGGACAGGGAGTCTGTATACAGGGGCCCAGCCTGGGCAGCTGAGTGGCTATAGGTTCAGGAATAGGCCTGAGGAGGCAGAAGGTGACCATGTGCCTACGGAGGGCCAAGGATGTTGGAAAAGCAGGGGAGGGCAATCTCTTCTTTACACCGTGGCCTCTGCTGGCTTTCCTTTCCTTGGGAGCGCCTATAGGAGGTGATATTACCTTCTCAGGCCCATCAGCTTTTCACCTCTAGCTAGCTAAATACCCCTTCCTTTCTCTGAGTCTGAGTGACATGGGAGGGCTCCTCCTACCAGGCCACTTCCTGAACTACAGTAAGGATGCTGGTGTCCGGGCTCCCATGGCCCACATGACCCGAGTGTGCTCTATTGGCTGTCCTGGAAGGTTCGGCCCATCAAGTATCTGCTGAGGGCCAGGCCCCGTTACAGCAAATGCCTGTGGGAAAATGCACCGCGCTTGCTGCCCTAAGTCCATCCCTCCACATTTCTAGCATTTTCTAAGCAGAAAGTAGGAATGTCTGCCACTCACCACAGCAAGGACTGCCAACTCACATTGGGCCACCTGGCTCCCCACTGAAGCCTTCTGGGACCCCCTCCCAGGCTGGATGCAGGCCTTCCTCTGGACTCAAGGCTAAATTTTGGAGGTACTTTATCCTAATGTAGGATATCTCTTGCACCCTTTTCTGGCAGTTCAAGGGCCATTTTATGTCCTCAGCATCTGCACAGCCTCACACTTTGAGGGCATGGAGGGAAGTGAGTGGACTAATGAGTGAATCCTGTGAGGGTGTCATCCCTGTGTCCAGGGCCCTTCAACTTCCTGTGAGAACCATCCCCTTGACGGATGTGCCTCTTGGTGCAGAAGTTTCTGGATGGACACACAGCCTGAAACTAAGAATGCTGGCTGTAGCAGAGGCAATCATGGGTGGAACTGGGACTGTCAGTGGCTCCTCCAACAGGGTGTGATTGTCCAATGGTAACTCACTCATGGCGGAGTTGGCAACCTGGGCTGGAATCCAGAATTCACATGCAGAGGGTCTGCCCTGGCCCCATCAAAGGTGAGAGGGGCAGCTGCGTTTATGCATGGGTTCTGTTCACATCAGTCCCCTTGCACTTCCCCGTAGCAGAGCGCTTCTTCAGGCTCAGGTAAAGCCCGTCCATGCAGGTGTAGCCAGGACAGAAGCTCCAGCAGCACTGGTTAATCTCCAGGGACGTGGGTGAGGTGCTCCTGGAGGCAGATTCTAGTGCACGTGTGGCTGAAACCACTGGGGAAATCCAGGTCACCCGTACTCAAACGCATTGAGGTGGGCACCAGGCCCTGCAGGAGGCATTGTGACCTACAGGAGGGGAATCCCCTTGCTAACTGGGCCTGGGACTACAGGCAGGCTGAAGATAGGCCCAAACATACAAACTAAGGTACTGATAGTCCTGGCTCTGCCACCCTTTCTAGTTGTTAACACTCTGAGTGCTGCTCTCCAAAATGATGTGTAGGACCCGCAGGCCATGAAAGACTGCTTCAGGGTAGGCCCTAGGCCCCTGGGGTCCATGGCTGTCAACCAAAGGGTGGGACCCCATGACTTCCAGATCAAGAACCCTTCAAACTACCTGTAAGGCAATGTGCCTCGGGCTCCAAACATTCTATCTTGTGTAATCCTCAGTCACCTAGCAGTATCCTGTTTGCAGAAAAGGAAAGTGAGGCCCAGGAGGTTCAGCAACTGTCCTGAATCAGAAAGAAGGGGAACTGGGGTCTTAAGCCTCAGCACTGGGGCATGTGAGGCTGTACTGGCCTCTGGTCCAGGGCTGGGTAGTCTATGCCTGCTCAACCCTGTGCCCACCTCTGCCTGGAACAAGTCAAGCCACAATCTCCATTTCACATTATTTTTTATTATAACTGTACAGAATGGGATCACTTTGCCAAGGATAATCATTTCTTAGATCAGTATGAATTTCAGCATAAAGATGGATGAGAAAAAGTGATAGGATATAAATGGCACTGCTGAGTATTCCATAAATCAAATGAATTGTGGCACTGTGAGGAAAGTCATTATGACAAGGGTTATATCAAGGTGGTCTTCACGCTCTTCACACAAACTTTGTTTTTTCCCAACACTATAAAGAGACCTTTTGGAAGTTAACACTGAGAAAGTAACTTGACCTGTGTGAAGGAAGCTGGGCCTGCTGGCTGCTGTCCTCAGCCCAGTCCAGCCCTGCACCCTGCTCCAAGGCTTCCCATTGCCGCTCTGGACATACAGGCTGGGCCAGGCACGTGTACCCAGGGGCAGATGGAACTGGCTCCGTAGCATATGGAGACCCAAGTCTTCACACACTTATTCTGTAATGACCTCCCCCAGGGGGCAGTTTCTTGGAAAACATTAAAATAAAAACAAAAAGTAAACATGGATCAGGTAAGACAGGTTTTCATTAGGAGAGAGCATGGTAAAGTAAAGGCGGTACTTCTGTGAAGGGTGGCACCCAGACCCCTGCAGCAGTGCCTTGGCACTGCGGGGACTGATATAGCTCAGTCATACTGGAGAAGGCAAACCACAGGGAGGACCTAGTTATTTTTAGAGTCCCATTCATTCTGCAGTGCTATTATTTCTTCCCAGATTGCAGTTAGCACTGAATATTAAGAGGCCATTTCTGCAAGAATAACCCAGTATAATTAAATTTTTAAAGTGTTATATGACCCCTTTGACATACACATGGAATAAGGCAAAATAACTAAATTTCTTTCTCTAGTAGACTAATTCTCAAGTGTAATTTAACAGGTAAATTTTAACTCAGATTTCCAGTATGATGAGTGGAATGCATGAAACACATAGGAACATGTATATAAAAAAAGATGAAAATGGGAATTAATCTAAGCTTAATGTATGTTATTTAACTGCTAATCAAAATGAGACATTCCATTGATTACCATATTTGTTTTTAAAAAGGCTTCATATATCAAGAATTTTAAAAAATGTGCACTGAAACATAAGTACCTGATTTAAAAAACAAAAAAAGAACACATACTCTTTAATAGCACTGTAACTAATAAAAATGCAAACAATGCTCACCAAAGAATAAAAAAGTCACTTAGCAAAAACATTAGGATGCTCTAACTCTGTGAGTCTGGGGCTGGTATATCCATGCCCCAGCCCTCTCATATTTCTTTCCTCTGAGGAGGGGGGAGCTTATTGAGGGGCTGGAAGCAACACCTCTGAGTGAGCTCAGTTCTCACGTGGCACTGACACAGAAGCACATGAGGAAGGAAGAGGACCTGCCCCTGGCCTATGTGCAGGGCTGGAAATTTTGGGGCAACTACTAAATGCCCAGACAATGGCAGGGAACCAGCCTGCAGCCTTCTTGGCCTGGTGGGTGGCCACTGACACTCAGATCTTACACTAGCTGTCAGGGCAAAGGAGATGCTGCGGTGAGCAGATGACAGTGGTCTAGCTGTAATGAGACAGCCAGCTTGGTCCTTTGGTTTCTGTCCTAGGATCCTGGCAGGACAGCTCCACACCTCACAGAACAGAACACAGACACCTTCCACAGGCAAATCCTTTGTGAGACAGCAACTGTGGCACCCTTTGCACTGGTGCAAGCCACTCACTGTATGGGGACCCTGGAGCTTACAAAGAGTTGTCGCAGGGACATGTACTGGTAACAACTTACTCAAAGGTGCAGAAGCCAGAGAGGTATCAGTGTACCTGTCAAGCAAATGCCCAACTGGGGAAGACCAGACAACCCTGGTAGCTGGCAAAACCAGAATTGTTATTTGCCTTAATATGGTGATGCTCTGAGAGATTTCTCTGCCAGAGTTTATGATCAAACCATAGAGCCAATTAGAACCTACTTTGCAGTGGGTGACTTGAGAGTCATCCCATTTTCTTGTAGCTGGAGTGGGAAATGTCATTATCACACTTGTCATCAGAGAAATACATGGTGAGCCGTGGGTGGGTACAAACACTTTCATGCTTAGCTTTCATTTACAGTTATCACAAAGCTGCCACTGCTCAGAGACCTAGAGAGCCAGTCCTCCCTGAGGTGAAATGTGCCCTGTGTTGGTAAGCAACCCTCTGGCCCCCTGCAGCTTGCCTAGGTGGAGGTGAGGAGAGGTGTCCTTTCCAGAGTCTTCTTCCTTTAAGGAGAGAAAGGGCTCATGCTGCTTTGTGTCCATCATGGCTTCCTAAGCTGCCAACTGAGGAGGGCAGAGCCTGTCATCTGTGCTGAAGCTCAGGAAGGTACCTCCTGGAAATGGTGCCCAGGATACAGAGTTCACAGCTGAGTACAGGTCCTGAACTGAATCTTAGAAAGGGAAAGGGCTGTGTAGAAACCCTGCATCCTCTAGGCACCTGGAATGTTCTCAAGGAAGCCCTGCTTCTTATAGAAGGGACTCCAGGTCGAATTCTCTGCCCCTGCTACCTTAAGGCTATGGATGGGCTCCAGCATGGGTATTTTCCCTGACTCCCCAGTTAACAGATAAATACAGCTCTGAAACTAGAGAAGCTTTACCAGAAAATTGACTGAAAGATGTTGATCCCATAATCTAAGTCAGGGTCACATTTTCCAACTCAAGATAATAATATTCCAACTCAGGATAATAATATTCCTATAACTTCTGAAATCAGTGCAGCTAAGACTGGCTTAAAGTGACCTTTTTTTTTTTTGGATAGGAAAGAGTCTAAAAGATGAAATACAACTATTTCTGGAGAAACAGTAATGGTTAAAGTATATTCAAGCCTCAGGACTTTAAATGTATTCTTTAACAAATGAAAAGAATATAATACCACATCATACCTAAGTATGATTCCTAAGTTTAGACCCTTTTTCTAAAGATCATTATAACTGAGAAGTCAGTAACAGGTTTTCCCTAGCCCTGGAATCCACTCTCTAGGTGATTCTATTGCACTTGGTTCTACTATATGGCTTCCCAAGATAGGGATGAAGTAGGTTGAGACAGACTTTCACTGAGTAATTTTTTCCTGATATCGACCAAGTTTTCTGTGGCTGATGTTGAGGGAGGGGAAGATTTGAAGCCAACTTCTCTTCCTCCTAAGTATAACTGATGGGGTGATTGGACCCTCTTAGTTGGGGGAGGAGGGAACAGAGGAAGAGTAATTCTGAGTGTGGTGTTATCTTTTCTGACAGTGAGTGTGGTGCTGTGTACTTAATCCAGCTCTAATTCAGAGCAAGGGCAATGTGCACGTCAAGTGAGGACCCAGAAAGCTCTGCTTGCATTTTGGTGAACATAATTGCTCTGTGTGCTTTGTGGCCATATTTGCTTCTTGCAAAGGGTTCCAAAGGATGTACCACTGCCAAACACATGCTGGGAAAGAAGTGCTGATATCAGATGCGTCTCTGTTGGAAAAGCCTTAAGGCCACTGAGGGGATGGCTGGGTCCTTGTGGTCAAATGTCCAAGGGGCTTACAATGGTGAAGCCAGAGTCCTTGCTGCTGTCATCATCAGGGCTGGAGCTGGGGTTGCTGGAGGAAGCTGAAGCTGGACTCATCAGTGGGTCTGAGAACACCAGTGGGGAGCAGGCTGGGGCCTGGTTTTTCCCAGATGCGCTTCTGAGGTTGCAAAGAGGCTGGGCCTGGCTTGAGAATGGCCCCCTGGCAGTGCTCCCCTCATCTTCCTTGGAAACCAAGATGAAGTCATCTGAACTCCCTCTGTCTTTGCACCCTGTTGTTTCTGAAGAGGCCTGTGAAATATGGAGAAAATAACAGGTGAATGAAAGAAGAAACTTACAGAGAACTGAGTAGAGGGCTCTGTGATCTGGGGAACACTCCAGGATGTCTGGCCACCTTACCCTGTGCTCTACCTTGGGAAGATGCAGTGTTTGGTCCTGCGGTCTGGAAGCCCAAGTATTTAGCATTTAGGATCTATAGCATCCTGAGCCCTCTGAAGCTGAATGCTGGCTTCCCAGCAGAACAAAGCCAGGTGCCTGCTTGGTAAGCTGCATCTATGCTAGAGGCCAGGCTCAGGAGTCAGCAACAGGTGGCAGGTAGCATCCCTCCCAGTCTCATGTGGAACCTCTAGTACAAACCCCTTATCCTCCAAAAGCTTTAATTTTCTCATCTGTGAAACAGGAATAAAGGCTGTATTTCCCTCCTAGAGTGTGGTCAGTGAAGTGAGATGATGCGTGCAGATGTGAACCTCACAAGACTGGTTCCCTAATGTGAGCTGCCACATTTGGAGTGGTTTTACTACCAGCTTGAAGAATAGCTTTCAGAGGGCCTACTGTATTATCTCATAAATCTCAGAGCAAGCTCATTTTGGTATGCACTTGGTGGTATCCTGGGGCAATAGTGTTAAGTATAGCTTCTATAAGTAGGAAAACCAAGAATGGCAATTAATTGCATACTATAGAGATAGAATTGCTTTAGTCTACAGTTCTTTTTTTTCTAAGCAATCAGGAGAGGCCTTTTATTTTTAAATTTAAGGACATTAACATCCATCGACACAGGTAAAGGTTTTGGGTTAGCAAAACTATAATTTGACCAAGGATGTCTGATGCCAGTTGGCAGAAACAAGACATTCTCCAGGGTTGACATACACTGATGGAGTGCCCACACAGCCTCGCCAACCTGCCTACTGGCAGCACAGGGGGAAACTAGAGCAAGTTCTGAAGTCAAAAGTGCCCTCTGCATCCCTTGGCTTCCTGACTGGCACAGCCTAGGCCATCTGGGGGCTGTGTACAGTGCCTTGAATGGAATTGGCAGCACTTCCGAGGGAAATCTGGCCTTGCTGCCTCACTGCCAGGGCCTTGTCCAAATCTCATGTCTTTCTTTGTAATATGGAGGGAAGTGGCTAAATAATGGCTCAGGCTCTTTCAGACAGCTGGAAAGCAGAAACAGTTTTAAGGTTACAGCAGGCTCGGAGGCCCCCCATTTTGAATTCTGAAGCTGATGACATTCTGTGAATACAAGGCACTCTGGTAGGAGAGGAATGATAGAAAATGGCACTGACATAGGGCTGCTGGATAAAGAAGGGCTGTCTCTTTTCTGAGTTGGAGGCTCATCCCCACTGCTGTCTCTGTAAAGAGCACTGGAAACAGCCATGCTACCTTGGGGAGTGGGGATTCTCCTCCACACAGGCAGGAAGCACCCAAAGCCACTGGGGAATCAACACAGGACCTCAGGTTTAACCTTCTGCTCTGAGTGTGGTCTGCTATCAGGCACTGTAAACTGTGCCAGCCTTAATTTCTCCTAACAGGGCTCCGGGTGGGATGGCTCAGGAGAGCTTACCTCAGGCTGAAAATGAAAGAGCACGTTCAGTGCTCTTGCTTTCATAGCGGTTCCTCTATTACAAAGATACCATGGCCACTTACAGGGAGACATCAGCAATACTCTGAAGAGGAGAAATAGTTCTGACAGCCCATAACCAGAAGTAAGGATGGTTCTTCCCCTTACTCTATCTGATTCCCAGATAAGAGCCATAGCCTGGCTTAGATAAAGCAAGTTAGAGCTGACAGAAACTTTTAATTTTATTTTCTTTTTTAACCCTCACTTCTTCCTTGTCAGTATTACAGATCATGAAAGGAAGCCCAGATAGGGAACCTGGTAGCTTGGCCAACATCACATACCATTTATATAATTTACTCAAGTTTTGTAAATTCCCAAGTCAGTCCTCTGTTTATGCTAAACACAAGAGTTGAGCAATTAGAATGGCTATAGTATGACATAGAAAGATATTAAAAAAACAAAACGAAAAACCTGGAACCCAAGTACCAGTAAGGCATGTGATGGGTTGTGCTGACTGATGAATCCTGGGTCTGACAAAAGTCCTGCCTTCTCCTGTGATAGATGTGGGAGTTCACATGTCCCTTTAGGAGTGACATCTTAAAAGATTTTTTTTTTTGCTTCGAAGAATACAGTTTCATGTGTCTGCTGTTTTCAGAGCTTGAGGTAAGATTGGTAAATCAAATAGAACATGTGCCACATGAGCACCAAAACAGTGGGGAGCAGACATAGGCATTCCCACAGAGGGAATGCCTCTTCACAGTTCCTGATGGGGAGGGGCACTGGCAGGAGCCCACGGCTGACCTCACGGTGGGGCAAGCCAGTCCTAAGTTAGGGACAAGCTATCCCACAGTGCACTGCAGACCTAACATCTCTCCTGAAGGCATCTCCAGAACCGGCCTAGCACTGTTCTCCCCACTCCTGGCCACCTGTACTTAGAAGCTCATGATAGCACAGACTATATCGTATAACCCTGAACACTTAGTACCTGGCAGAGCAGGCCCCCAGTACACATTTGGAAGCTTTCAGAATTCCCACTTGGCACACTTGGGATGGCACAGTCCTGGACAAAGCTCACCTTTGACAGACAGAATCTCCCACCTCTCCCCCAATATGCCATAAGAAGGAAAAATTCAACCAGCTCCAAGCCTTGGAATGCACGCATTCCTGCCTGTCAGATTCCTTATCAATCTAGTCCAGACTCTTGGGCTTTGCAGTAGAAGGCTCCATGTACTTAGTCTTTCTGATTTGCTTGCATCTGATATTTTTCTTGCCTTCCCTCCTCTCAAGGAGAGAGAAGAGCACGGGTTCCTTCCTTATCCCTTCCTCAGTAAAATCTTCAAGAGCACGGTTTTCTTTTCAACAAACTACTAAATATTACAGAAAAGGGGCCACAGCAGGGAACAGAAGCCCTTCTGTTTTCCCTTGTCGGGTCTTCAGGCCCTGAAGGGGCTATGTCTCAGAAACGCATGCAGAGGTGAAGGGTCTCCTGGCTGTGTCTGAATGAGCCCTGTAAGAACAAGGGCATAAAACATTTCCTCTCATATATATCCCAGAACTAGTTCATCTTGGGTATGGAGGTAGCAGGTGGAACTGGTGGGTTTCTTAGCTGCTAGGCAGGAACTGTTAGGGTGAAGCTGCTGCCTCCTATGATGATGGCTAACATAATTCAATTTGTTTCAGATAAGGACTTCCAGTGAAGACTACAAGGGACCATTCAAAGCAGCTCCAGTCACTCAGCCCCTCTTTTAGGTGACCTAGAGTAAATTTTGCTCATTATAATCTCCTTAGAATGCTAAATTCTCTGCCCTAGAGGTTTTCCTGTCTGCCACCTTAAATGTGCAATGTAGGAAACGTGATCTTTAACTCTACATATGCAGGGATGTGTCCACTTCTACATGTGATGACAAGTCTCTCTAATATGAATATGTTAAGTCTCCCCAACAAAATTCTCTTGATTCCTTTGTTCAAGGAGACACTATTCTGGAGTCATCCCCAATGCTCTTCTCATTTGCTACTGGTAATAAGCCTGTTGCCACTCCTCTATCTTGGTTGTGCTTACTGGTTTTGCCCTCACTCATGAAGGTGTGAATCTACTGTGTTCAGTTACATGCTGGTGACCCAAGTAGGACTGCGGCAGCTCTCCCAGGCTATCTCCTGTGCTGATACGTGAAGGCTCCCTCTTGGCACTTGACTTGCTGGCTCTGCCTGCCGTCATCTGGACAAACTTAGCAGCCACTCTGAACCTTCTTTGAAAGTTCCTTCAGATCAGCGAGTAGTACCAGACCCTGGAGTAGGCTAACTGAGCCCCAGTAATAAACTGAAGGAGGACCCAGGTCAGGGAAGTACACACGATGGTCGGATCTCTGGGAAAGGCTGAAATGGAGGCTGTTCAGGGCTACCTGACTGCTGAAAGCCTCAATACAGAAAACTTTGCAGATCTATATCAAGGTAAAAGAAATCAAATCCTAAAGTTCCAGAGAGAAATGTGACTTTCTGATATTCTGGAAACCCCCCTTGTAATGAGTTTAAATGTTCTGAAATCTTTTTATACTGGACCAAAATTTAAATATTATAAATTGTAGAGTTGTGGGATTTGCATTTTTGCATTCTGACCATTTTTGCCAGCCTTTAAGTGGCTGGTGTATTAATTAGCTTTTCCTTGTTGGGACAAAATACCTGACATATCCAAATTAAGGGAGAAAAGGTTGGCTCACAATTTCAAGTCCATGACCTGCTAGCTCCAAGGAAGAAAGGGCACGTCAGGAAAGCTGTTCAGCTCATGGCAGCTGGGAAGCCAAGCAGAAGAGCTACAGAGAGAGGAAGGGGCTAGGAACAGGATATAGCCTTCAGAGACATACCCCTAGTAACCTACTTCCTTCATCTGGGTCCCACCTCCTAATAGTCCATTCAGCTATGAACCCCTTTCAATACTTGCATTATTGGGGGACACTTCATATTTAAATCACAACAGCTAGTACAGGCAAACAGGCATCCATACTACAGGAGAGACTGCTGGGCTGTCTCCATCACTGGCAGATGTGTGAGTATTTGTCAATGAATAAGAAACAGATGGTCTTTTTCTTTGGAACGCATTATGGCAACTATATGATCTGGGAGCCAGAAGAAATGGCCTGAGGATGGGTCTCTAAAGTATAATACTATTCTGCAACCAGATTTATTCTGTAAGGAGGAGGGGAAAATGGGATGAAATTCCCTATGTACAGTGTTTTATGGCCGTGTATCAGAAGGAGGGACTCCAAAAGAAATAAAAGTTAACAAGAATGAAGGTTAAATCTTTGACCAAGAAGGGAAACCACTCCCAGTTTTTGAGTCTACTGGAGGATGACTACCCCACTTTATACTTTTCCCCCAGGTCGGGGAAAAAAGTGTCTCCCACTGCTACTTAAGGTCTTGCTAAGCAGGTAGATCAGCCGCCTTTGTGCCCTTCTGAGTCTAATCCCCTGATTTTATTATAACTTCTGTACAATTTTGATACCTGAGAGCAAAAGTCAGCAAACTATTGCCAAATCTGACTGATAGCCTGTTTTTGCATGGTCCTCAACCACAGAATGATTCACACATTTTTAAAAGGTGGTTGTTGTGTTTTAGATATAAAATGCCCCTCCAAAGACTCTTGTATTTGGAAGGTTATTGGCTCATTGGGGCACTATATTCTTCAGTGGATTAGTCCACTGATGAGTTCATAGCTGAACTGCTGTTAGGAGGTGGGGCCTCATTAGAGGTGGGTCACTGGTGGCACATGCTGGAAGGCTCCCAGACGCCTCCTCCTCTTCCTGGCTGCCATGGGATAAGCAGCTCTCCTCTGCCAGGCCCTTCCACCATGCTGTTTCTGCCTTAGAGCCAGCAAAATTTGGACTGTACCCATAGGAAATTGTGAGCCAAATAAAACTCTCCTTTAAACTGTATGGGTTGGTGTTATGATTTGGGTCTAGATGTCCCCCCAAATCCTCATGCAGTCATAGGTGGCTGAATCTAGAGTATACGGTGCTGGGATTATGGAGGTGTGATTACTAAATCAGTACATTGGTTTGGCACTGCCCTAGTCCTGGTAGTCCGGATACAATATAAGGGACAGAAGAGACTTCTCTTCTCCCTTGTTCCTTTTGCTGTCTTCCGGCACCATGGACTATTGTCCCTCTGCCATGTGCTACCTGGCCTTGGAGCCAGACAATTATAGACTGAAACCTCTACAAACTGTGAGCTAAATTAGCCTTTCCTCCTCTAACTTTGGATATCAGGTATTTTGTCTCAGCAATGAGAAAAAAGTAAGACAATTGGGTATTTTGCTTCAGAGACTGAAGAGTGACAAAGACAGAGACAACCATATGTGGCCTGGAAATCCTAAAATATTTACTATCTGGCCCATTATAGAAAAAGTTTAGTGACCCTTGCCTTAGAAGATGGACATTAACTACAAGTTCTTTTCCATGAAGGCAAGAAAGTAACTTTGGTTAAAAAAAAAGGTTCAAGCCAAGTGAAATCCACTGAAGACAGCACTAGGAAAGCATGGAAAGTACTGCTTGTGCTAAAGGAATGGAGACACAAGCTGAGGCCAACTGACCAATAATTGTGACAGATCTGGCTTTGAGTCTCATAAAATGAGAATGGTAGGAGGCTTAGGCCAGTGCTGCTGCACACAGGTTTATAGGTTATGCACTGCAGAACTCTAAGAGTCCTTAGTCTCAACTACCATAGTGAATAGCAGCACCTCTAGTACTAGAGTGTACAACCTACACAGCTGGATACAGAATCCCTGGCTTGGGCTACTTGTGGTATTTCACAGCTGAACTTCACATGTGGTGATCTGAAATAATCTGGTAGGGCTTTTCTCATTTATAAGTTTGAAGAACTTCTGTCATTGTGTTCCCACTGAGTTAATGTAATACTTCATCAGAGCTACTGTACCTGTTTGGTGGCCCCAGAAACTTGGCTGCTGTGTCCCTGGCCGCTGGAGCAATAGTGGTCATCTGCAATGGTGATCTGCTCATTCTCCTCGGCCTCCAGCTGGCTCTGATTGAAACGCAGGGAACCTTTCAGAATGTCTTTGATCTATTTTCAAAATAGAATATAATAAAAAATGAATGAGTTGTTTAAATTCTAGCTGAATCTCTCAAATTCTAAGTAGACTTATCTATGGTTTCAGCTCTTTGTGGTCCATTGCAGTTCAAAAATATCAGAGAAAATTCTAGAAATTAACAATTGAAATAAAGAATTATGCACCATCCTGAGTAGCCTGATGAAATCTCTTGCTGTCCCATTTCAACCTACCTAGAATTACATCGTCCAGAGTATCCATGCTCTAAATGCTATTGTCTTGGTTATTATATCAAATGTCACAGTATCACTATATTTGTGTTCAGGTCACCTGTATATAGAGGCCAAACACCACAAACATCTCACTTCATCTCTTCAAGTAGTCATTGTATCATCTCATACCATCACAAGGAAGGCAAATTCAATACAATAAAAGTTTCTGAGATACCACATTAATATAACTTTTATTACAGTATGATGTTATTATAATTTACTGTGCCCCATTTATAAATTAAACCTTATTCTAGATATTTATGTATAGGAAAAACATACAGAACTATCCATGGTTTTAGACATGCACTGAGGGCCTTAGAATCTATCCCCTGCAGATAAGGTGGAAATACTATTGTACAAATGTTAACATTTTACTATAAGAAAGATATAATGGGCAAAACCCCCAACTTTATCAAAGCTGAAGACTTAGCAATGACCAAGGAAAATTTCAGGGTGTTACCGGCCAGGTTTTCCCAAGGGTCAAACATGGGCATCACATCTCTGGCAGTTACCTTAAAGAAAAAAGCACCATTTGCCTGAAAAGCCAGGGCAAGTGAGCAGCCTGATCTACTAAAGTGGCTCCACCTGAGCTGGAGCTGTTCATGACACAGGCAGACATTTGGGAACAACATACTCCTTCTCATTGACATTTGTATTCCTATTTAGAGCTGCAGGATTGAGGTGACTTTGGCTTTTGAGGGCGTGAGACCTGCTGTAGGTAGTGATTATGACACTCCAAGGATATACTTATATTTGTGAATGAATGATTGACTGAACATGATGCTGGGCCACACCATAATAGCTCTCAATGAGGAATAAAGAAGGGGAAAGATGAGAAATGTAAAACCCATTTGGGCTACAAGACATAATTACTAGAAGGAGCAAGGGGCATAGAGAAGTAGAAATTTGGGAGGGGCTCTGCCTGGGAGGATATGAGGAGCAATGGGACAGTGGTTGTAATATCATGGTACACAGGCACCAAATGGGTGGCCTGCAGGACACAATAATAATGTCAGAGTAGTGCACATACCTGTTTTAATCCTGCCAGGGACACCAGAATTTGGTCTTCTTTTTCCAAATTTTCTTGTAAAATCACATCTTGGATATTTACTGAAAATAGAATGACATTTTATAACAAATGAGTATAACTTACATGTTGTCGTACCACAACTTTAGACAAGGTTGAGAATTTTTCTGCCAAATTTCATAGCAACTATCACACCAAAGATGCCCTGTAAAGTACAGATGGAGAGTAGGGAGGGCAGCACTAAGCCTGGTATGCAGCCCTCCCCTCAAGATTGCAGAGTATGCTTTGATCATGACAGATATGGTTTTACTTCCAATGAAAAACCAGGGCACCTTTTACTAATGAAGGATGTGACCAACAGCCAGGAGCATCTGTCCAATCTCAAGGAGGAAGCTTTGTGGCCAGAGCTTCCTACACTGCCTTACAGCCCAATGGTGTTAGCAGACCTCTGTAAAGTCTAGTTTCTCCCATATGACTCAAACTAATAAATTGTCTTTAAGGGTTTGTAAGATTAAATCATGTTACTGTTTCAAGGTAATAGTGTAACTGCCATGGGCTGAGATGGCCCTTCGTCTCTTCCCTGCGCCCTTTCTCCTCCATAGATTAGAGAGTCAGACACAGTCTGTTTAAGATTGTAGATCCTGGTTGGCACAGCCCCAGGAGACAGTTACATTATGTATCTTTATTCCTTTTCTGCACATGGTCTGATCACAAGATAATCACGTTCAGCCTAGGCCACATGGCACTAGCTACCCCGCCTTCCTACACTATAAATAAAGAGCACAGTGGAGCCAGGCGGTCATTAGCTCATCAGGCTATGGTCCCACCTGGTCCCAGCTATCAAGAATAATCTTGGTATGTATCTTATTATTTTCCATTTTTTTCTTCACCTCCCACCGCTCTTCGCAGCATCGGACCCTATGCTGTGTGGGTTGTAGCATAAAACAAAGGACAAAATGCACTAGAGAGACTCCTTAGATGCTGATGCCCATGGAGTTGGCATGCCTTAACCCAATATCTTCACAGGAACTGTTTTTCTGTCTCCAGATGGCTCAGAGCCACATTAGGAGTATTTCCTCCAGCCCTAACCTAAAGGACCTGCCAAGCTAGCTTCTGACTCAGGCCTGGCATCACATTCAGTTGCACAGTAATACATTACACATGGTCCTTACCCTCCAGAACCCTGGAGGACATGCATAGCCTTGTCAAGGACTGTGGCTTACTGAAGTGGGATTCTCAGGAGGAAGAGTGAAAACACACCCCTGGGAATGTACAGGAGGATGCATGGGGCAGGGCAGGAATAAACAACTAAACACATTTAAAAACTACTGATAGGCATACTCATTTAAGAATTGCTACAATAAATAGGTTCATACCCCACAAACATCATCTGCATTCTTTTCTGTGGGCTTAAAGAACTTACTCCATTTATAATGTCTTATATGGTATATATTCTGTCACTCATTTAACATCATCCCAGGTTCTACCTGTGACTCTTAAGAGTTCATGGTTGGTCCTAACAGCCACCAGAGCTAGTATATGACCTTTGCTCACCTGGTGCCCACAGGTTGAGGCAGAGCCAGCACACTTGGCCTGGCATTGGTTTCCAAATCTATGTAGACCAGCCCCCCCCTTTTTGTTAAACATTCTGCTTCAATGCTGTTTTCTCTGAATAGTCTTCCTGCCCACCCAACAAAAGTAGCCTCCAAGTCACTTTCTAGTTTTATCACATCAAATATTTTACCACTTACCATCTTACATCATTGAATGTATGTGCTGGCTTATTTATTGTTGACCTCCCCCAACAGGATAAAACTCTTGAAAATGTTCTTGCTCAGGGATATATTTGCAACCCTAAGAATAATACCTAGTGCACTGTGGGTTCATAATAAGTATGAATTGAATGAATTAAGGAATGAACCAGCATGGAAACACACTTCAGGAACTTGCATTTCAAAACACTGTTATTCTAAAAGGTAGTTCCAGTAAGGGGCAAAACAAAGAGTGATCCCATCAACATGCTTCCAGCCTGACCATGTACCTAAATCCTAAATCCCTAAAACTTCAGTAAGAATAAATCTATAAACTATGCTGACAAGTCCTCTTATATACTGCAGCAGAAAAACAGCAGCTTTTATTTACTTTGAAAACCTGACCGTAGTTCTTGACTAATAGAAAGTCCTGCTCCAAAACAAGAAGTTGAATGGGAACAGAATAAAAGAGATATAATTACAGAGAAAATGTGTTTTGGTTTTCTTGAAAGCTTATAACAATTTGTTCTCCCTTAAAAAAAAAAAAAAAGAATCCACTCAGTAAGACATTAACAAAAGCCAACTGAAGAAAACTCACAAAAACCAGTTACGCAGGTCTTTTAAAGGTCTGAAAAAGGCTACTTTAAAAGCACAGCTATAAGGGCCAGAGGGCTGGTGAAGGCAGCAGGGTAGGGTAGTTGGGTGGCTTGGCAGGGGTCAAAATTCTCTACTCCTGCAAGAAAGCTCAACCAAGGAAGGCGGGAGCATCAGGACATCTGTAGGAAGCATAAAGAGCCTCTTAGGTCCAAGGAACTAATGGAAAGTTGGGCCCTGGAAGCCATACTCACAAAGCAGGGGCGTAGCAAAAAGGGGAAGCCTGTAGAAGCCAAATCTGAATTGTTTTTGATTGTCAAGTTTAAACCCTTAGACTGACACTGATGAGAATGGAACTTTACAGCAACATTTCTACACATCCGGGTTTAGGAACACAGATTATTACTTTAATATAGAGGTACTTTCTGCATAAGATCTTACAAAATCATGCTGGCCACACTGCCTGAAAATCTTATGAATTAGGAAGTCCTAGCCCACTTTTCTCAGATGCCCTGCTTGGCTGTGAGCCTTCTACACAAGAGTGGCAGCAGGGACACTTGCAGCGGTATGATGAAAAAGGGGAGTGGTAGAGAAGGTGAATGATACTGATGTGTTAGGAAGACAGTACAATGAATACCCCTTGTCTTTGTTGTCCTCTAGAGCTCTCTCAGAGAATGAGCAACTAAGGAACCTCATTCCTCAATACACAATGACTCTAGGTCTAATGAGCTGGCAGCACTGCTAGTGGGCCACTCCACCCTCCACTCCTTCCTCACCAGCATAAGAGATTTTATTCAGGGCAGCACTGTAGGCATGCACTTATTCTTGCAGCTGAGTTGGTCATGTGACACTGCTCTGGCCAATCTGAAGTATAAGAGCCGTGTCATGTGACACCGCTCTGGGAAAGCTTCTCATGGGGGATTCAGTTCATGCCTTTGGGGACTTTACTCTTACCCAGCTGCAAGCCTAAAATGTGGCAGGAGTTCTACAAATCACTCTGCAAGTATGTAGAAGAAGATCAAGGCTTATGGAGAGAGAGAGAGAGAGAGAGAGAGAGAGAGAGAGATCCAGAGCCTTGGATTTAGCAGCTGTGTGCCCTCACCCAGTAATTCTTTAGACTTATTTTTTGATGATATCAAAGATCACTTTTTAGGATTGGATAAAAACACAGAGCTTCTCCCTGAAAACTCACATACAAATATAATGTTCAAGAGTAAACTTGTTTCAATTAATTAAGCTAACCTGGCTCACTTTAAAAAAAAATCCAGGGCACAGAAATCCAAATTAAACCAAAAGGGCCTGCTCAGAGACTGTTAAATGTTTTGAAAACAAGAATTTTATGAAGAATCCATTTTATGAAGATTACTGACCATTAAATCCTTTTCCTAACCAGTTCCACAATAGACTGATTTAAGGTAGCATTTATGAACACTACTAACATACAATATCCTAGTAAGAAGCCTACTGTTTTATGTAAGTTCATCTGCATGAAAAGAAAATCTTTTCATGTCTTAAAATAGTAAAGGCAGAAATATGAAATGTTTAAATTTGCAACATGATGTATGACTTATCACAGAAAAAGGCAGAATACATTATACTATAAAGGATCTTTGTTTCTTGTAGATTACAGTTTTATTATCTTCTGATACTTAAGTATTGTATATTAGAATTACTAGAGCACTGAAACTAAAGGAAAACAGCCACTAGCTAGAGTAATTTCTGTAGAAATTACTCATAAAAATCTTATTCACATAACTGTCATGGTAACTCCTCTATTTTTCTATCATTTTTTGGGGGGGGGGTACCGGGGATCGAACTTAGGTCCTTGTGGTTGCGAAGCAGGCGGCAGAACCACTGAGCTTAATCCCCGGTCCAGATCTATTTTTTTTTTGGTACTGGGGATCGAACTCAGGACCTTGTGTGAGGCAGGCGGCAGAACCACTGAGCTAAATCCCTGGCCCAACTCCGCTATTTTTAATGAAATATGAAAGCCACAAAAAATTTCTAGCCTTTTAAAAGTAACAGAAATGGCACACCAAATACTTTTTCAATTTCTTAACTTTATATTTTTCAGTGCTAGAATTTTAAAAAAAGGTGTTTTTATCTAAATGTTTTGAACAGCTGGTGCAAAAGGTGACATAAGCCTTCTCAGGGGTAATGAAAACGGGTAGGAGTAGAACTTACATCTATCTATAACTAGGTGGATCTGGGCAAGGCACTAACCATCTTTGTGCCTGCAGGGCAGGAATGGTGCCTCCCCATAGGGTGGCTCTAAAGAGCAAAGGAGATAGCCCAGAACTGTCAGCACAGTACCCAGCAATACAGAAGCTCAGGATCCACTGCTTTCATTTCTGTGTGGCCACATACCTCACTAACATCCCAGCAAGCATCTACATGAGTACTATCATTTGTGAAAAAGAAGCTCAGGAATACACTGGATCTGAACTCTTTGCTAGCTAGCTGTGCCATTCATGTTTCCTAAAAAAGAAAAGATAAGCCCTGGCTTTCTTATCTATGAAATAAAGATTTGCTGATATGTCTTCTAGGGCTTTTCTATCTTTAATATTCTAAAATACTATAAGCTACAGAATGCTCCACAAAAGCATACTTCCTTTATTCACTTTATTTCTTTATTCATTGGATTTAATCCTCCCATTGCGTGTATAAATCATCAATGAAAAGACAAGCTGCTATGTGCAATTTGTAATAGCTAAAACTTGGAAACAGCCCAAATGCCC